GAAGCGCGCTTGTATATGATAACTACCGCCCGCTTTACCACGCCACTGAGACCACCATCCTCCAGACCGTCAATTCGTTCGAACTGACGGTCACGCCATATCACACCTGCTTTTACAGCGGGGATTGGGCTGTTCCTTTCCTTTGGGCGCCCAAAGTGCCACGGGTGCCCCCGCTGCCACCACTCCCTCGCATCCCGCGACCGCAGTCGCCGCCGACCCCACCGTCACCACCACCGGCTGCAGAGTACACTATTCGCTTAACACCACGTGTGCCGGCCGTGGCCACACATTTGGCCTTTTCCTCATGGCCACTCCTCCTCCGCCATGCCGGCGCTACCGGCACATCCGGACACATTGTCCAGGTGTGCGACTGTCAGCACCCACGCTTTGTCGGCGCACTGGACCTCTCCGACTACGACTCCTGCCATCAGCCTAACCGCGCCTCCGACTTACAGGTACCGGTTTTTTATAAACTTTTCTCCGCTGTAAGTACGTCGTTCAACTTTAAAGGCTATGCCTGTAGAAGCTGGGTAAACGTACTGTACATTAGTGAATTTTTCTGGGGTTCGACGGACACTTACCAAAATCGTATCCTGTTGTAGTAAGTGCCGTAGATTGTTGGCATATGGTCCAAACGTTAGATTGTTCAGGCAATGTTATGGTACACGACGGTCACGCATTTCGTTATGAAGCCGATCCTACAGGCTCGGCCAGCTGGCTGCATAGTAATCAGTTTCGTACTACTAACTGCGTCTTCGAGGAAGTTACCCTGGAGCGAGACTGCGACAATTGTGCCGTGGTCTCCGTTCAGGGTAACTAACTAGACAGTACCCTTCGGGTTATGCAGTTCACGGTCATACAGCTTACGTATGGCAGGTAAATAATCGATTCACCGAAACACAACATTGTTCTAAATTTCACGAGCTTCATTCCGGTTTAGGTGTTTTGATTAAGACTGATAGTACCATTTACGTCCGCGATAAACTTCGTCAAACTGATTTGTATTTTAACTTAACTGTCGTCTCCGACTGCCCCATGGCAAATGCGACAAATTATCCCTCTTTGACGACCAATCCCTTCTGCTACAAATTTTTAATCGTTCAACACAATTACCGCTTAATTTAACCTCCCACACCACAATTTCTCAACATGTAGATATTTCTAAACACTGTGCGTTTACAAGTCTTTTATACGTCGGCTATCCATCAACATAACCAGTGGTTACTAGATACCATGTCCGACCAGATTAATAATCTAATTGCCGATAGTAACAATATTTTTTGTAAACTCCGTCAAAATAAAAAGCACGATCTTTTCCTCCTTTCGAAACTCTCTCCAGTTCGTGCAGCACACGCTTTTAATCTTCCTCTCTGTAACCACCTTGATGTACATGGTAATACTGCCATTCTCCGTACTTGTACTTCCTTAAATACCACTTTTCATGCTGTATTCACTAAGTGCGGTCCTGAACCTATTACATCTATACATAATTCTAATTTCACAATTGGTAAAGATGGTTTCACTCTGCATCCATTTTCCACATGTTTCTGGTCAAACGGCATTACCAACTTTAATGGATACTCGTATATTTATAATAACATTTCCTGGGTACCTCTGAACTTTACCAAATTCTCGAAGAAAATCCACTTCCGCTCCTTTTCGTTACACCGGTAGACCATATTTTCACTCTCTGTCTGATATTACTAATAAAGAATCTTCCACTCTTAATATGATTGCTGAATTGTCTGCCTTACTGCAAAATTCTAAATCTACGGTTTTAATGATTTAATGCTAAATACTAATCAGATAGAAACAAGTACTGTACATATGTCATTTATTGAGCGCATAAAGACGAGTGTCTGTACTATTACTCGTCTTTGGCCTTCTGGCCGGATTCCTGTATCTTGGAATCCGTACAGGCTGCTTGCAGTGTTTTTCGCCTGCCTGCGGGCGTGTGTATCATCATGTTGTTTCAAGTTTTCAGTACCTCTGCCAGACTTCAGAACGCACCTCCGCATTTACCAACGCGCGTCCGGCGGTAACCTATGCAACCAGGCGGACGTGTCATCATCCCTCTGCCTACTCCGCCACCAAAACAACCGCAGCCCCGCCGGGCTGTTCTGCGATATCCGCATTAAAACCGCGCAGGCGACCGGACATTGTCCTCATTGGACCGGCTGATGGCTATATGCCGTTCCTAATGGATATCGTACTCGCCGCCTAATGGCTCAACTATTATGGCACCTTATCGGATCCGTTAGTGGATTCCTTATACCACCTCACTGGCCGTTTATGGACGGATCGTTAATTACTCTTTTCATCTTTAGCCATTGTACAATGTACACGCTTCCAGTGCGTATTAATGTTATCTCTCTTGTGGCTTCGATGAGGACATCTTCAGACTTGCATGGGGCAATGTAACGCCCGTTACCTGTATTTGCGTGTACTGTATGTATGCCTAACGGTCACTCCTGTTCGCCCATTCGTTATACATGTATCTGTTCCTCCTACTTGCCTCTAGGCATTTACATACAGCCATCTCATCGCATGCTGACCGATGGTCATTCCTCAACACTTCACTTTTCCTTTTTCCTTTCTGCCAGTTGATGAATAAAGTTACAAAACGTACAGTTTGCCGGTTTGCTTAGCGTACGCATTCACACACAGACCGTAGCCACACGCTACAATATCATGTATGCTGTTTTACAGAGAATTGCAAACTTTCACAGAGAATTGCAAACCCGGAATTGAGTTCCGAATGGCAAGCGGGATAAGACGTTTTCACAATAGTACAGTGGCCGCGCCGGGTTTTTTTTGTGAATGCAATAAGTACGTAATTTTGGAAGAACTTTTCTGTACAGTGTACACTGGCGACATAGACAAACCCATAAGGAAAAATTAATTTAAAATCAGAAAGCAAAAACAAACTCACAGCAAATTCGAAAAAAAAACGGGATTGCCTGTTGTGTGGTAAATATCTCTAGACGCACTGGCCCATTTTGATAAAGAAATAATAGGATATTTTGCTAAAAAAATAATCCTGTGTACGAGTCGTATAATATTTAATTTTTAACTGGGCAATGCAGCAACAATTTATCACCATAATTCACGCCTTGCATATTTACTGTACACACGTGCGTTTTTTTACACTTAAGTGTACATTTATGATTTATTTTAAAATTAATAAAACAATCAAACAGCGCCATATTGTGGCATTGTTATGTGCATAATTTATGCACATAACGATGCAGCAGTGCGGTATTTCACCTGTTATTTGCAAAACACATTTACGCAGCATAAACATGTACTGCAAATACGCACTGATACATCCTTATCATCATAATGGCATAATCTGCAGGTAGTGTTCCTGTTATTTCCCCACGTGTCTTCCCTCGCATCGGTCTTGCGCAAACGTAACTTTGTACGTAGAAATTTAAACATTAATAATTATGAATAAATAATAGGTTGCAGTTTTAGGTGCAGTACTTACATATTATGTTTTGGCCGTACTGCTGCCGGGATTTTGCACCAGCATATGTGGCAAAGCGAATGTATTCGTTTATTAGGCAGACAATACACAATAACACACAAGAGGAACAAAAAAGATAAATTCAAATCAATTAAGAAACATACGGATTTCGTATTAAGATAACGTGGGAAAATGGCGCTGGAAATAGTGCGCCGTGTGCAGTGTATACGGCATTTGGAAACTGGAAGACACAGCACCAGACGGCCGTCTTTGTGTGCGACAGGTACGGTTAAACGGTACAACAGAATAGGTGGCGCTTGTACGTGCGCCCACTATTTTCCCATAAGCCTATATGCTGCCGGGAATTTGTTTCCTCTACTTAAAGCTAGGATCGCGCTGTATGACAGTAGGAGTACAGAAGCACTAACAGAAAAGTTACAGCTTACATTGGTAAAGTAATTATATGTACGAGTACAGCTGAAGGTTGGCCCGGTACATGTACCAAATTGGAGTCTATACAGGAACTTTCATGTCTTCTTCCAGCATTGCTTTATGACATTTTGTAGCCAGAGGATTTATATACGTAAGCACGAAATCCGTTTGCGCGCGCAACATCCGGTTCGGGAGTTATTAATGAAATAAAATTCCAAAAGTTTAAACGCGCGGAGGTGTACCAAAAGTCTCATTATGAACCGATGATCTTCAAATTTAGTATGAAAACGCACATTACCATGAAGATTGTTTTGGTACCGAACCAGCTTTCTACCATTTTTTTTTGAAATTTTAAATTAATTTTTAAAAACCGGATTTTGCCCGCACAAACGGTTTTTTCGCCTATGTATACGAATCCTTTGGCCACAAAATATCATAAAGCAATGCAAAAAAGTGTTGGGGAGTGCACGACAGCGAAAGTTGCCGTGGATCATTGGTGGATGTATACAAATTTGGTGCTATGCACCGGGCCAAATCCCTGAAGTCATTCCATTAATACGATAGTTGATCATGGAAAGTATTATTAGCCTTACTCACAGCCATTCGATGGAAGTACCTGGTATTATAAACTGATAATCACAGTTTACCAGATACCCTAGTTTGTTTGTAAAGAACACGTTAACAACTAAACTGAGCATGAATGGTTCACTTCAAAATTCTTCTGCCGTACTAGTAGATGTGGCAGAAATCATGGGAATCGATCAAAACGTCAGCAGCCGTATATCCACTTGTGCGCCGTACCTGTGCGTAATCCCGTCGCAATCTGTTGCTTTTGGATTGAGTTCTCGCGATAGCTGCCTCACCTTTTTTGGCCCATCGCGCGCGCGAATCCTCAGTAAATTAGAGAATTTTTTGAGGATCCTAGTGATATTAACCAAGAACTGATCAAAGCACCAGGTGGTCGGGAATGCCCCTTGTAAGCAATAAACATGCTTCGTGTAACCCAGCTATAGAAGCATGATCAATAATATGTAATTACTGGACTGGTTCTCTCTGTCATCAATCTCTTTTTTTTTATTTCTTGCATAACACTGTTTAACGTACCCTGTTTTTACCTTAGTATTCTGCTGTAAAGTTTATTGGTAAAAAAATGGCTGTGGTCCGTTATTTTCTCTGTTTGATAATGGTCTTCGCGTTCGCCAACGCTTGGCTAGCAGTGGATATGGAAAATTTAAGAAACGACCTGTTTAATTCCCAGACGGCTCCACGACGACCGGTAATTATTTACGAGACCTTTTATTCGTTTCTGCTGCAGTATGCCATTCTGCTTTAATACATAGTAATAAATAGCGCATTTAAAAAATGTTAGAGTCTCCTGTCATTAATGTAATTTTACATTTCAGGTGGCGCAGAACCTCAACATCCTGGCAGTACGCGATCGGATCCAGGCCATGAAAACGTATTTGGAGACGGCGAACTTGCCGCAAACAGTCAACCAGCGAAAGGTCAACCGGGCACTCCTACAAGCCCTGATCAAAATGCTGGGTTAGCTTTAAGTTCGACTTTTTCGTTTTCGGAAGAAATACTAACGTATACTTGGTTATCTCTAGGTAAAAATCAAATCACGGAAGTGGATCGTGACCATATTTAGTTCTGGATCTGGCGATAGTGCAAAGAGCTGTTAGACAAAATCGGTCACTACAAAGACCTGATGGACATTACACTTATTAATATAAAACGGACCTGCAATTGTTGGTTTCAACTATGTTTCCGACTGTTCCATTATTTTAAATCTACGTTCTGTTTAGACGTTTTGATTCGATAGTGACCATACTGAATATATGTACTACATGTCTAATGTGTGTCATGCCATCAGTTACTGGTCTTAGTTAAATCTTTGTTGTGTCTCGACGTGTTAACGCAGTAATTGTCAAGTGTTGTACCAGCTATACTGTCTTAATAAACAAGCAAAGAAACACACTCGTGTTGTTGCGAATGCACTGCCTCGTATCTAACAGTTCATTTCAAAAGGTTTTAACTCAGAGAAGAAACAAGGGGTGTGGCCTATACCCTTTAGAATTACCCGCTTGGCCGTTTTCTGAAACTGCTGGTACACGGTACGATACAATCGTATATCACTTGGAGTTGGGTGCACTTTATGCAATAATACGAGTAATTGTGGAGGAAAATCTTGTCCGCAGACCGCAGTTGTACTGTCATTCATGGCTGCTCCCCACAAAATTAAATGCACACAAGTACTCCATTTTCTTCTCGCTCCAGTTTACAAGAAGTCTCCGACATCCTCCACAGTTGTGCAGCTATACAAAGAGTCTTGCAAACATATGATATTATACCACAGTTTTACGCCACTGTAGACTACTGTGTGGATATATTGTGAATTACAAAAATCTGATGGGGTACGAACCTTTATTAAGTATCATAGTGTGAGTACAAACTAAATTTTAATGTGTCCAGAGTAGTTCATGCACTGACATAAGTATCTTAGTACAAATCAATCACACTTGGTCGATCCCGTATTATCTACAGTTATTTAAAATAAAAAGCAAAAGTAAATCTTTTTTCTCAAGGGCACATAAAGCTTTCTACTCTTCCGTTGTGGTACCTCTTTGATTTTCTGCATACGTAATTTGACTCCTACTCTGGCTGTCTTTCACAGTTAACACCTTCGCAGCATAGCGGCCGGCGATTTCCCGACGATTCCCTTCAAAGAATAAATAAAGTAAAAGTATACATCGTACGCTGTTCATCGAACTGTACCCAACAGAGACGCAATCTGACCCTTGAAAATGTATTTTTTAAGATGGATACGCTATTTCCGGAAACAGTTTACGTAAGAATGTTAAGCAGTAGCTACGGCCTCCTTTATCACAATCACCGTTTGACGTCATTCTGCCAGAAAGTTAGTGAAGCAAACTGCATAAAACAGTGCCACCAAAGTATTCTAAAGTAACGATGCGAAATGCCAGTGTACTCGTTAACGTAATCGAGGATATCCATAGCCAGTAGGTACGTGCCGCATCAATCCTAAAAATGCTACCGAATTATCCACGCTGGACTGGGTCCACTGGCCATCTCACGTCTCCCGAGTTACCAAAGCGGCAGAACTCCTGATATAAATTTGATCGCTCCAGCTTCATTTCCACATTGCTTAAACCTGTTTACCAGTTACATAAACCGTTGAATTTCCGGATTCTGGTGATATTCTTAATAGCGAAGAGTTTGTGCTAAAATGGAGCTGAAACTCCGGTTTGTTTTGTGCCTGATACTGGCGGTCTCGTCCGCCAGCGCTTGGATGGGAATCAATCCCGAACGAAGCAACGGACAAAGCGACGGGTCCAGCGATCAGCCTGCCTCATCAAGACCGGTAAAAATTTATACATCCTTCAACCGTTATTTTGATTAGTTATTAGGTCGTTTGTTAATTTTATTGTGCTACACTGTACCAAGTTTTGCTTGACCTTTATCAAAATTTTTGAAAAATGAAAAGAAGACCAAAATATTAGAGCTTTTCGAAATATTAGGCATATTGTTGTAAGTTATCATAATATGTAGTTACGTATCTGTGTGACTGTGTCAAAAAAGACGTATGTTTTGTATGCTTATTCCTCAATGTTCTGGCTGTTTTTGAGCGATTCAGTATCCATCGTAAGCGTGTAAAGTAAAGATTTTTAATGGGATTCGCTCAGTATTCTCCGTAGTGAACAACATAAGAGAATGCTTCATTTATCGCTCTAGTCTTTATTGACTTCATCTGTACCACTTTCTGTTTGACCTTTACCAAAATTAGAAAAATGTGCGAAGCTCGCAATATTTGAGCTGTTTTTCATGAATATACCGGCATTGCAGGGAGCGCAAAAAATGAACATCTTGATGATGCCGGATCGACTGATGGCCATGAAAGCCTACATGGATGCGGCCAACTTACCACAGACGCCGTATCAACGAAAGGTCAACATGGCCTTCTTGCAAGCCATGGCCAAAATGATGGGTATAGCTGCATTTCTCCTTTTTGATTTTTTAGTAACATAGTGAACATGCTTTCTAATGCAAAACATCCCGATTGTAGGCAAAACGCAAATCGTGGAGGTGGAACCGGAGGATATCGCTTCCTGGTCTAGCGGCAACGCATAGAATTACCGGACAATCAGTCCACTTCGAAGTCCTTCAAAAATTTTTTATTGGATTGCACCCCGGAGTTGAAGATTTCAACAATGCCCCCTATTTTACTGTCAAAGTTTGGTTGTTTGTCGACGTGCTAACTCCACTTTTATCTGTACATTATGCGCACCTTTGTCCCTAACTGTACTCTATATACCTGCGTATGACTAATCACTATGTACTGTATTGCTGAAGCTACTCGTAACTCTAAACAGTGCGGATATATTCTCCCTGATTTGCTGATGGCTGTCTGGTTTTGAGTTTTATTTCCTAAGCGTGTTGTTTATTTTGTGACAGTGTCTGACCGACTTGAGCGTTAATACACAATGCAGCTGTCTATGACTCCTTGACCTCCATGAATCTACAAAGTATTACGCGCTACTTGTAGGTAATTTGCCAAAATTAAATAATTCGCATAATTATGTAGCACGATCTGTAACGATCGTTCATGCGCACGCCATGTTACGATTTCCAAGATATCCGCTAAACCCGGCAGTTTAATGAATTATTGATTGCACATTTAATTACTTAGAACGACAAAAGTAATTAATCAGAGGAATAAAGAAAATCCAAAGGCCGTAAATTAAAAAAACACTACGTGACAGCTGTAGTAGAAACTGGGGAATTAAAAAAATAATAAGAAAATCAAATCGATGAATTAGAAAAGTCGTTGTGTTTTAAAATGTATAGGCGGCTGGAAGGAAACACTGGGTACACCACACACACACGATACTGCAGACACGAAGAAACCTTCTTGAATTCTGAGCAAATGCCGACAAAATCCGGCCCATCACGCCAACCGGCGCAACTTCACGGTTATCACTAGAGCTCTAAACCATAGAAAAAGTAATATAAAAAACAGCAGAAAAATCTCCTCCGCATCCAAAAATCATCAACCCATGTTTTCCGACATGTACAATAAACCAGGACCACTCAGAGGAACCGCTGCACCTGCACATCGCGGCACACCGCGTTAGTACACCCCTCCTTGTACTTATACCACACCCGCCGCTTAGTTCCGCCCGCGACCACCACCGGGGCGTCGGGATCCATCGGCACCTGCTGCCGGAGATACTCCTGCACCGACCACACCCGCAGCTTCCGCGAACTGACCCCCCGGTGGCCAGCTTCCTTCTCCGGAACCGATCCGAGACCCAGAAGGACCTCCGGGGTCTCCATGACCCCCGGGGTCGGTGTTTCCGGTGGGGCGGCGTGGCTGGCCTCCACCTCCACCAGCCGCAACCGCACCTGGGCGGCGATCATCTCTTTGGCGGCCAGGGTCAGGGTCCCGGCGGCGCTGGTTGGGGAGGTCCCCGGGAAGTGGGCCACCGCCTCCAGGTGCGGATCCAGGAGGAGGTCGACGGTGCCGGAGGGGGAGGATTCCTCACGGTAGGACACGCCGTACGCCACCATCTGCGCCACGACGTCGCGGACCAAGACGCGCTCGCTCGGGTTGAGGAGTTGGATGTTGTGACCCTGTGCGAATTTAATTTTCAATTAAGTAAATTAATTAACCTTATTAATTAAATACTTTTTAATAAATTAATTAATTAATAAGTGATAAATAAACTATCATCATATAAATTAATAATAAAGGTTGAGTGTTGTGGTCTGCACTATCAGCGATTCATTCGCAGAAAAATGATATTCGGCAAGATTAATACTACAGTACAGTGCCGCACTGATTAAAATTCCGTCGCCAGTTTGATAAACAAAAATCAAGTGGTAAGAAAAACCGGAAAAACGTATTCATAGCCAAGTAACTCCTACTAATGAGCCAAATACAGATTTCTAGCCAATGCTCCGCGCATGGGAACTAGGATATGGAAGAAATTACACACTGTTCTACGATGATTCACACTGACGCTAATCATGGAAGTTTACGTACACTGCACATTAGAATTATTACAGGAAACAAAACAGTATTATATCAAAAATTAATTATTACTATTATCATTGAAAAAATAAACAACAAGGTGCTAATATATATGTGCGTCAGGCAGTCGCTATAAACATTTATATCTTGGCTCTTACTGACAGAATTCAATATTACATCAACAACGTGTTTACTCTTCTCTTCAAACTGAAATTACTTACAATTGTTATTTTGAGTACAATAAAAATATAGAACTAGCATGTTATGGAAAAACTTAAAACTGCAGTACATCTTTCATGTCCTTTTTTGTTTTCTAATACAGATACATCGTAAGTTCGAAGTACACTAACTGTATTTTTTATATACACTATCTGCAATATGTAATGTAATGTTTTATATACACTAGTTACAACAATGTTTTATATACTCACACTAATAACAACCTTTGTTTACTTTTGATTAATTTTCAATTAATTAAAATTTTTAAAATTTAATATAATTATTAACGAACACCACCATTGTGACACTGGTACTGTTCATTACAAATTATATTTTAAAATTACTAATTATAATTTAAAATTTAAATATTATTTTTTAGTGTTGTACCTTGAGAATCGGTTGCAGGATGTTAACCAAATACGGAACAAATTCACTGGACAGCGCGCCGCTCTTCACCACCCGGTATAATCCCGCCGGCAGATCCTTAACGAAGGCGTCCATGATTTCCTTATTCCGACCGCACCGGCTGCGAAACTCCACCTGTTGCTGCGGGAAATTCAGTTTGGGCACCGCGTTGCCGCTGAGTAAGACGTGCAGTGCGACCGGGGAAAACGAGGCGTATCCCCGCAGGAACCAGCTCTGCTCCTCCATCACGCCGCGCTCCAGGATGTCCGCGAAGCAGAACCAGTTGGCGCACTGCGCCGCGGAGATTAACCGCGATTCCTTGTGCTTGACGCGCAGATAATTCTCGTATAATCCCGAGAGGATTTTCTCTAAATCCTCCTGTTGCACGGTGCGGAGGACGCTGCGGGTGGAATCTTTTTCCGACGCGCCCTCACTGATCTAAGGGTGAAATTCAAAGACTTTTTTCCCGTTTTCAAAATGGTTTCACATTACAATTTATTCGAAATACAACCTGACAATTCATTTCAAAATACAAAATTGGATAAAATAATTTTGAAACGATAAAATATCAAATCAAGCGTGATTAGAAATAAAATCAAGTTACAAAAAATGGGATTTGAAATCAAGCGTGATAGGAAAAAATAGAATTTAAAACCAAACTTTTATTGAAATAATTCAAAATAGAAAATTAATAAATCCAACTGAAAATTAGCCAGCCAAAATCGAAAATCAGTTACTGGAAAGAGAAAATCCAGACTCCGAAATACAAAATAAATATGCAAGTCGTATTAAACAATATTTTTAAAAAAGAATCGTACTAAAGCGTTACGATGGTTACAATGCAAATTCTGAAATAGAAAATAAATATGCAATAAAAAAGTGGAAAAAAATTACAATTTTCAACATTCTGTCAATGCATTTCGTCAGAAGTTTGATGAATTCCGCGATTAATGCGCTCAGTGTTATTCTTCATTTGATGCATTTAAAAATCCCGTTTGCAAAAATGAAGTCAAGACCGGTGTGACTGTAAAATGATTTCAATTTGCAATTTTGAGACCGCAGTCCACGTGACCGCTTCGACCCACCTCGTTCTGCCGGCCGGCGCCGGGTGCGCGGAAGACAGTGTCCCAGATGCCGAACAGCTGTTTGCGGCTGTCCTTCCGTCCGATGGTCGTCTGGCTGATGTCGGCGACGGCCAGCCGGTTGCCCTGGACCGAGGCGAACTGGATGGTGTTCAGGCAGGTGCGGATGTCGTCCTCCGACTTCTCGCACAGCACGTGAATCACGGAGGAGTCCGCCTATTTACATGGAAGAAATTCAAACACTTTCAGCCAATTTTCAAATAATTCAATTTTACTTTCGAAGGGAAATAAAAATTAAAAAAATATTTTCTAAATTTAATTCAAATTTAATTCGTTAAAAAAATTATTTTTTACAGTTTGCTTCGCAAACAGGTTGTACGATGGGCGAAACAGACTACTAAGTGGTATTAAGGGCGAAACAGACTACAGTACTGCAACGAAATAAAGCAATCTGATGACAAGTGAAATAAAATCTAAAAAATAATTCCAGTTTCCAGTTTTTTCCCGAATATCTTTCGAAAGCTATTAGGCGACGACAATCATTGAAATAAATTATTTCCGGTCATTTTGATCGTTTAATCAACTGTCTACCGTGGAAATCTCGATTTTTAATGTTAATTTTAAAACCTGTTGTTAACAGATTGGAAATGGTAATAATCAAAAAACTAAATTTTTATTTTAAATCATATCAAAACGCGACAGCCAGTTTCAAATGTAATTCGGCCAGTTAATTCCTGAAACTGTAACTTTCATCCTACCTGGATGGGCAGGGAGCGGCAGATGTCCAGCATGCGCTGCGCCAGGCGTTCGCGGTGGATGGGCGGGAACTGCACCACGACGCTGACCTGGCGGAGGGGTTTCAGTGCCGGCACGTACTGGTCGTTGCAGATGCAGATGATGGGCCGCCATAGGGCCAACTTCCGCTGCGCTTTCTTCTTCCCGCTGGCGCTCTTGGCCTCCCCTACCAAAACACGTAAAATGTGAAACTGAAATTCAAACCAATTTTTAGGAGTTTCCCGAACAATTTAATACAAATTCTGAGACATCAGAAATAATTATTATTTATTTATCACATTATTATTCTCTAAGGAAAAATGGCTTTTTCCTCATTCTTATCCTTTTAGCAATTCGAACAATGGTTGCGCCGTTTTGGCATGATTTGAAAAGAAATTTGAAAGTGAAAAAGGAACTTAAGTTTATGATAATATTATGTAGTGCATTATTGAGAAAACATAAAGACTGTTCAATATTGCACGACGGATCGAAAAACATCTACGATTTCTCGCTCATTTTAACCATTTTCAATTCGAACGCTTTTTAAGCCGCTTCGGGAATAATCTGCAACGAAATCTGAAACTAAATAAATTACTTATTTTATAACATTGTTCTTTCGAAAATATGGAAAATATTTTTCTTTCGGAAACTGCTGGTGTTTATGTAGGTGATGAAACGAGTAATATCAGATACAGTAATTTCTCGGTTATTTTCATTAGTTTTGTCAATAATCACCTCCCGTGAAATGTATATAAAATCCTCTAGAATATTCCTCGCTTCAAATCGGTTTATTAAAAATTCAGAAAGTATTTTTTGAAAAATTGTTTTCCAGTTTCCATTGCAGATTAATTTCGCACGCGCCAAGACTTGCTCTGATTCACAAATAACAGTCTAATTTACGCTGGAAATTGTAATAATAACCCTACCTTTCAGTAAATGGACGAGATAGTCCACGGTGGCGGCCGGCGCCCCGTCCACCTCGTCGATAATCAGGCACTTGGGCCGGTCCACCGCCACGCCGTCCTGCATGAGCGCGGCGATGTTGCCGTGCATCAGCGAGGACTCCACGCGGTTGCGGAAGACGTCCAGGGCGCGGTCGTCGCTGGCGTTAATCTCCAGGGTGTCGTAGCCGGCGTGCCGGGCGATCACGTGCGCCAGGGTGGTCTTCCCCAGGCCCGGGGGGCCGCACAGCAGCGCCGTCTTGAAACGCGGCCGCCGGTCGGCGTCCAGGGTGAAGCAGTAGTCCGGCACCCCGCCGAAGGCCCGCGGGACGAAGGTCTTGGGATTATTCGCCGCTTTGCGCTTGCCGAAACCTAGGATTGTGATTTCGACCTTTCTGTACCGTTGGCATAAAAAATATTGCATAATACTGTATTTATTTTGGAAAATAATTTCAGACAAGGTTTTAATTAAAACATATTAAAAATAAAACAACCATCAGCACTATTTAAAAAAAATAGCAAACAGTAATAAAAAAATATGACAAACAAATAAAAAAATTAAAAATAAGGTAGAAAAAATTACTTTTTATAATTTTGGTCAAACCGCTAGGCGAAACCTTGATTTTGTTCTCCTAAAACTGCAAACGTTGCATAATGTAAGAAATTAATTCATCTATTTGCAAACCTGTCCAATGATGAAATTCGAAAAACTGAAAATTTTATCATACTTATTTTTAAAACTATCTGCTGTTACGCTTTCAAATACCACTTTTAATACAAAATATTAGTATTATATTGGCAACTTTTGATTACTTATTTCCGCAGCTTTTTTGCAAAACCTGGTGTGTAAGAAAATCGTTTACAGTTGAAAAATGTTCTTTTAAATTTCTCAGTTTTTTTAATTCAAGCACCCGCAGTGCCAGATTGGGAAACAAATTTAATCTCCCAAAAAAATTTCGAAAATTTCCCCACCTAAATGCGTGTGCAGCTTCGGTTCCCGGTGGAAGACACACCCATCCCACAGCTTCAACCACTGCAGCAGCGCCCGGTTGACGGTCTCATCGCTCAACAGATCCAGATAGCGACTGGCCCGGAACTGCTCCACCCACATCCGCCGCGCCCCCTCCACCGGCAGCGGCGGCAGGACCACCTCCGGGAGGGTCCGCGCCGGGGCGGCGGCCTCCATCTCCGTGCGCACCGTCTCCAAGAGGGTGCGGAAGCGCCGGTACCCCGGGGCGGAAGTGAAGACGGCGCTTGTCGCGGCGGCCAGGTCGGTGTGCAGCCGGGCCTTCCACTGCGATGGTTTGAAGGATAAATACAGGGCACGTCCGGCGCTGGTGACCGGGAGGCTGCGGGCGTGCTGCGGTGGGCGGCGGAAGACGCGGACCGGGCCGTGGGGCGCGGAGGGGGTAGCAGATGAGGGTTTAGGGGGTTTGGTCGGGATGGCGTCGGGGATGGGCGCAGGGGAGGGGGGGTTCCGGGGAGAAGAGGCGGCGCACGTGAGGGAGGGGAGGCCCCGCCCCGGATGACGGGTGGGGCGGGGGTTCGGTGTCCGGACGGTTCTCGTTTCCGCCCAAATCGTCCAACCAGGCAGCTGCAAAATTTTGGGAAAAAATTTGGGATAATCGTAAAAAAAATTTTGAAATAAATTTGAATTGTAAAATTAATCAAAAATTAAAATAGATTCCAAATCAATTTTGAACAATTATTAAATCTGAAATATGTAAATCAGAAACAAATGTGAACTATGCGAATATTTATATATGGGGTAAGTTAAATCAGTTTGAAATTATTAAAATAAATCATTATACAGCGTTTTAACTGTAATGTATTTACGGTATGTGCCTACGATTTCGATACTGGAATTTACAATATTTTGATGGCTATTCTGCCGCTATTGCCGAATAAAATACAGGTGTTAATAAGTTAGACACAAAATAAATTCCAAGTAAATTCGAAATAAAGCAGAAGTCTATCTGGAATTAGTTCGACAGAAACTGGAAAAAAATCTGGAGACCTAAGCATATTAAACTAGAAAAAAATCCGAAAAAATTCGGAATAAAGTCGAAATAAATTCAAAGCAAGTTTACAATATTTTGAATAATTTTCGAAATATAATAGTCCGATTAATCATTAAAACAAAGACGTGAGATGGTCCCCCATATGACGCACACCAACCTTCAGCAGAGAATTTTCCAGACCGCGAAACCCCGTTGCGATCCTCGTGCATTAAGTCCCGCGGCGCCCCTCGCGTCCTACTGGCATGAACCCCATTGGTAGGGGCCGGGTGGTATCGTAAGGTGTCCTGCATCTCCATCGACGGTTGTTTCGACGGTGACAACGATGCAGCGTCGTCGTCCAATCCGAACAACCGCGCCACCTGTTGCTTCGGTGGCCCCTGATTCTTTGGGGTGGGGACGCTGGTTGTCAGGGGCGCCCCGGCGGTCATGGTGAAGAAGTCGTCAGAAAGGAAGGCGCGCTGCAGCTGCAAGACATCCTGAGTGCGGGCTCGTTTGGCGGGGCGCTCGTGATCGTCTGCATGTTCCAACATGAACAGATCCACTTCGCTGACGTCCTCCATGTTGCTCTTTCAGCGGATTTGCGAACTGTGATCGATCCGGGAAAATCTTGTTAGAATATGTACACCAAAATAAAATCAACACAATCTACAACTTGTTGACTAAATTATTCTCAAACTCAATTTTTATCCATCAAAGTTTTAAAACGATAAAACTCATAAAAGCTCTTCGCAGTTCGCAGCCTAAACAGTTCGCAGTACGTCTTTGTGCAGTTTAGAGCTGAGTAGCTGACTGCCTGCTATTGCCACTGCTGTATGTAAGGAACCGGCGCCACACGTGCGGCTGCCACTACGACACGACAACGTGCAGGACAAAGAACGTGCAAATCGGCCAGTCGGTCCGCGGTTCCAAGTTTAACACTGAAATATTAAACAGCGCGCAATGGGAAAACATCCAGTCCCCGCTAATCGCCAACAACCACGCTGGAACAGAGAAGGCACTCGTCTGCGCAGCACGAGTATGCATTCAATGGTGTTAAAAAGAAGCATTTATTTCCCACTTACCACTTCCCAGTAACCATTTGCTTGTGAGCTGCGGTCTTTTCCCCTGCAGATTCTGGTTTTTAAATTTTACTGTTTTCAGTGTTTTGCATGTTTCTGTTGTAGTATGTAATACTATGCAGTATACAGTAACAACAAGAAAAAATTAGCGAAAGGAACATTCTGTTTTAATTGTATTAATTTTATTACGCTTTATGCTCACAAAAAACGCCATTGCACTACACCAGGAAAGCAGTCGCCAGTTAGTCGCCACATGTGAAACAAATCAATTCAACCGCACAAAAAATATTACAAAAATTTCCTGTGGATCCAAAACACAACCGAGCAGAAAACATCTACACTTAACACTATAAAAACACTTTGGTCACAAAAAAAATCAGTGGCAAGACTATGTCATTACAAAAACACAGATCCGCGATCAACCGAGTTAAGAGCCCAGGGCGTCCATTCACACTTTGAGGATCTCGTAGACGTCGTTGCCGTACATCCACGTGAAGGGATAGGGATCGGCGGCCACCCGCCAGCAGCACGCTTCGTATTCGGCCCGCGCCGGCTCCTCCACATCCCACATCTCCGGCATCGCGCAGCCCGCTCTACACACGTAATCAATTAATTTCGCAGTTAGTTAATGATGTTAACCCAGCAAGACGTCACCACAAAAAAAACCAGCTACAATTATCTTCGATTTATTTGAAATATTTCATCACAACTTTTATAAGTGGAATTACAGTTAGAAATAAGTTACTATTAACCCATACCAGCGTTTTCGCATACCCCAGCTCGGAACATACATCCGCTTTAATTTTCATAGTTTATTTAAAAATGATACTAATGTAAATTCAATTATAATTTCTAACATTAGTTATAACGGTTTCGCATGCTAACGGAGTATCACTCGGAAAAAAATCCGCTTTAGTTTTCTTAAGCTAATTTTAATTTCTTATCCATAATACTTTTGTTGTTATTTCATTTGTTTTATGGGCATTTGTAATAGGTAAGCATATTTATTAATATACAGGAAATTATAAGTGTTTCATTTTGTACAAATGCGGTAATAAAATACTGTATAAATCATAATCATTAAAAAAATCCACCGATATCAGAAAAATTCTAAACGCCTGGATTTTTCTGAAAACTATGTGATGTTTCGGAAGACCATCCTTATGGCAACTAGAGATACACTGGACAGACTCTGCCACAACTCTACGATCCAACATACATCCGCAGTTCCGTAGTGATGATAGGTTTTTGACTTCTTGAACTCACAGTTACGTGCAATTTGCCAATATACAGCATACTGCTTCTTTAATAATTTGGTTACGGTTTATTGCAGATAGTAATTTTGTTCTGCGGACTGTAATTTTCGTCCAGAAACTGTTTACAGGAATTTTACGAATTCGGGATCTCTCACTTCCTTCGGGAGCGATTCATGCAGTTTATAACAAAATAATATTTCATCCGGAATTAATATTACAGCACTAATCTATCCTGGCGGAAACGTACTTGTGTTTGCGCCAGCAGTAGGAATTCTCAAAAACGACATAATCCACGCCCAACTGCCGATGAATACGGTGGACTTCCCGCGGTGATTTCCGGCTGTACATCGAATACACCTTCAGCGTTCTCTCCCTGAAAACACACACCCATAATAAAACCCGATTATTTCATAATAAATTAAATTTAATTAATTATTAAATTTAACTAATTATTAAATTTAATTTCTCATTGAATTCCCTGACCGTATCTCGGCGTTCTCGTAATGCGGATGGTTGACAATCGGGCGTCCGGTGCTCAGATGCAGATTGGCCATGGTGGCCATCGGACCGGCAAACACGGCATCTATCCAACCGCATAATAAAACATATATAATAATCAAGCAGAAAAAATGCTTAATTAAAAAATTAAAAAACCCAAAAGCCAAACGAAAAATAATTTTCTACCAATCTCATCCTATCTGAATTCAATCGGGACCAGTTCTGCCGATTAGCATTAAAGATTTTCTAATTATTACTGTTTTTTACTAATTGCGTTATTGCTAATTTTAATTACTTATTATCAATTCTATGGTAAAATAACTTCTTTCGATTATTTTTGATTGTGGCTACTTATTTTGTTTCGATTAATTATTCCATTTTGATTAATTTTATTTTTATTTAACATTTTTATTTCGTGATCTGCAAGGTACCTTCGACGGTGTTGTTGTTGATCCAGGTTAGAATGTCTTCCAGTGGATAATTACTGTATTCGCCCATAATCTTGTGCTGCTCCCGTAGATTATGCATGCCGACCGGTAGCATACAGCTCATCAGACCTACCACCATGCCCAAATGCCAGGAACGCCGCAAGAATCCAAAAATCTACACAAAAAAAAACAAATTCCCCATCCGTCGGCAATTTTCTGCGCTCTAATTTTCCATCACATGCCGTAACTCAAACAACGCTCACAAAAAAAATACTTAGACACGCAGTAAAAAATGCAAACAGACTTGAATATAAGAAAAATATTAAATGATTATGGACAAAACGTTCAGTCGTGCAACTGCCGACAAAATTACCACTGTATAGTGTACAGATTAGAGTGAGAGCTGGGAAATTGGGCATACCGGCACATGACACTGCACTACAGATGAACACCACAAACTCATTTACGGTTCGTTAAAGCGTGATTGATCAATAGGAACACCAATGTTCCTTGAGCGTAATCCGCTTGGATTTCCTTAGGATTAATTATGCATTTCATCTACATTTATTCTATAACTTTCCAGATAACTGTTTAATTTAATAAATAATATTCCTGAAATAAAATCTATTTTATTGGAATTTAATTTCAACAATAATAAGCAGATTCAATATTCAAGTCGAAATTCAATGAAATGCATTTCTTTATTTTAAGAAATTAATTGTTTTAACGATACTGATTTTTATTTAATACGATTTATTACAATTACGACAAAGAGAAGCGAGGCACCAACCGATCGCGAGGCGACCAGCGACGCCACGATGCACAACTGCGGCGTCCACAGCAGCTTCAAGCGCATAATCAGCAGCGCCAACGCGGTGAACGCGTAGCCCTGCAGCAGGATGTAGTGGACGTCCAGGGACACCGCCGACACCGGCTGACCATTTTCACCGGGTTTCCCGTTGCTCTGGGCACTGCGTAACCGGAAGAAAGCGGAAAAAGCACAACACATGAGCAAAAGCAGCCGTGAAATCACAATCACACAAATTAAACAAATAACCAGAAATTCAAGAACACTCGTATTATTTCGCGCGAAGCTTAGCTGTTAGTAGAAACAAAAACAGATACAAGCATCAGACATTTTTTTAAAAAAGACCGGCTGCAAACTGCAAACAAAATGATCGATGCAAAATAACCCAAGAAATATAAACAAAACATTCCATTTTCTATAAATATAGGGCAATAATTTTACAATCGTCAACCCAATAAAAGCGACTAAATTACCCATCGTAAATATTATTAAAATAAATAATACTACAGGAAAATTAATTTACATAAAAACAAAGAAACTGAAGTGAATGCAGTAAGTTTATTAAACAATTACTTGGCTTTTTTTAACAATTAATAAAATCCAAAACTACTGCCAAGAAAAACATATAATTTATGATAAAACGCCATATTTAAAGGGAGGTTACAGATCGAACTAGAGAAGAGTAAAATGGTGATTATTATTAATTAACATTTTCTTACCGTTTGGGCGTTCGATACAGGAAATATCCCATATGGGACCGCCGTGCCGAACACACCGGAGTATCGTATAAAACGCTGGGATTCGGTGTCCCAACGCGCCGTTCCCCGTGTGCGACATGCAGGCAGGCTTTTCGCGGGTGGCATTTACACGAGCAGTCCGTTAACAATTCGCGCGTCACCAGGAATTTCACCGTACAACACACCATCACACCGATCGGCAGCAGCAGCGTCCGGCACAGCTTGCCCACTACTTCCACTACAACACACGTAAAACTTCATCTGACCGATACCCAAAAGAAAGATAATTAAAAGCAACAATTCCAGTCTAAACTCGGACGAAAAAATCAAGAACACCTTTTTTGGCTGAATTTTTTTTATTGCGCATTCATTAACGCACTCACGAAAGTAAAAGTTCGAAGCCCTTGTACTACAACACCAGTAACAGTGTACGGCAAGCGAGTTAATGATCGTTACGACTGACCATAAATGGAAGGAAATCATTTTATCACAACAAAACTTCACACTCTCATAATTTTATCGGGACCTAAAAGGGCTGCTCGCCTAAATTTTAAAAATTCTCGTTCAACTGCAAATCGTAGGATCGCGCCCCATTTGAATACAAGCACCATACTAATTTCTTGAAATTCATATCAATATCATTCTGAAATCTGAATTAATAACATTCCAACAACATTTATTATTAACATTTAAAATTTACAAATAATAAATCATGACAAAATAATAACAAATAATAATCAACAACAATAACAATCATGACTAAATAACAATCATCACTAATAATTATTATAATAAAAACTGTAATTTTTATTTTCCCGTACCAAACTAATCGGACCAAACAAACCCGTACCAAACAAACAAACCCGTACCAAACAAATCCGCAGTGAATATAGCAACTGACCTCCAAGAAAATCAAACTCCGGCGCACACATATACAGCATGGTGTGGAAATTCTTCCAGCTGGTGAATTTGGCCCGGACAATCTGCCAGATATGCGCATCATCCGCGCCGCCCACCGCCATCTTCCACACCGGCACCAGCAGCACACACGCGATAAACCCGGCCATCTGCCAGCCCGTCATGTAGCCGAAACGCTCGGCCAGCGGGACCTTGCGGACGGCGAAGAATTCCATCAAAAGGAAGAGCGCGATGACGATGATGCCGTAGGCGGACGTTAAGAGGAAGGAGTTGCAACAGAGGAGAAAATAACAGGCCATTAAAGAGTAGAATAAACCCTGGACGATGGCGCGCAGGAGGGAGTAGTCCAGGTAGCAGGCAATGAAGAGGAAGAGCAGGACGCCAATCTGCGTCAGCAGGACAAAGGGAGCGAACTGCGGAAAAACCGAATTTTAAATGGGAAGTTTTTTAACAAAAAAAAAATCAGTAAATCAGAAAAATTTTAAATTCCAATTACGAAATTTTTAAAAGTAATTTTAGAAGTCGCTAAAAAACAAAGGAGAATTTTAAAAATTTGAAAACAAACATTGTTGACAAATCGGTGAAAATTGCCAATCGTTAATCAATTTCAGAACAGCAACAAAACCGGAATTTTTAAAATAATGTGACAAATGGCGTATTATCGCCATCGGTAAAAACTGCCAATTAGGAAACAAGTAAACCACTTGTCGAAAAACAACTAATTATTAATATGTTAACTTTTAAACAGAACAATTCCAACGCAATTGTCGCTCTAAACTAGTCATGAGATAAATATGTAATGTTAAAAAAGAATTAAAAGAAAATTTCGACCAGTCGGTAAAAAACGCCAAGCAAGTACAAAATAAGTAGGCATTAACTCAATTATTTACCACCATAATTGAAAATCAAATTAACGACCATAATTATAAATAACAAAAATTTCCGAATAAAGCTGAAATAAAAGGTAAAGGAAAATAATTAACAGCCTTCTAGCCTTCCCAAATCTTAAAATATGACAACCATGCCTAAACAATTAGTAAAGTTTTGTATCAAACCCTCGAAAAATCACATCTTCCCGAGTAAAATTCGAGAAAAAAATAAACTAAAAACAAAAACAAATACTAACCTGCCACTGCAGAATAAACAATCCCGACGTCACGCCCACCAGCGCACTCATCTGCCAGCTGCGACAGCCCGTCTTCAGAAGATACGCCACGGCCAGCATCTCCATGACGAAAAACGGATAGCCGAAGCTCTCGCGCAGCGGCGGTGTCCACATGACCCGCGTGGCTTCCCCGTGGTTGAACAAGAAGCACAGCAACGTAATAACCCCGCCGCCGATGTTCTCGCTGAGCAGCCAGCCGGTCAAAAAGAGGACGCCCAATAGCAGACCGTTCAGACCGAACACTCCCAGTAAATACAGGTAGAAGGGATCGCCCAGGCCCACGCAGGCCGTCACCGGGGAGTGCCCGGCGCCGCGGTTGACGCGGAAACACTGCACGGTGGTGATGTCGAGGAACTCGGTGATGGTGGCGTAGATGCGGTAGATGCCGGCTAGGAACATCTATCCAGCATAGTTTTCATTTTTTCACACTAAATTTCCATTTTTTTTAAAAATTTGAATATTTTTAAAGATAGAAAGATTTATTTGCCCAAATAGATGTTACTAAAAGATGTACTCGGCGCTACTCGCAAGTCGTGGCTGCATATATTTCGCAGTATTAAACTGCAAGCTAACGTAGTGTGCGGGCTCATGAGGATCTGATATATTCTAGGATGTTCCAGTAACATCAAAGCTGGAAAATTGTAAACAGTAACACGTAGCTTGACAATAAATTGAAAATATGATTCATACTTTTTTAAATTTTTAACATATTTTGAAATTTATAGGGATATTCAAAAAAACATTCCCTAGCTTAGCCAGTTCGTCGTGATTCTGTCACCACAAGCTCGTCAAATTACTAAACGACGCCTCGGTCAAATTTAACTAACCGATAATACCTTGTTGGAAATTTAGTCCAAATCATGGAAAAACGTCAGAAAGTACGTACCTCTGGGTAAAGATTGAAGCGATTAATAAAGTTGACTTCGTTGGGAAACTCCGTGCTGGTGTCGTGCATAATCTCCATCACACCGCTGAAGAAACTCGGCGCCTCCACAATACGTTTATAAAACGAATAATACAATCCCTAAAAACAGAAAAAAATCTAGCCACAATTTAACACGGCAGAAAAAATTATTATTAATTATTTATTCGTTTAAAAATGATTAAAAGAATTTAAATCAGGCATAATGCATTTCAAAATTATTTTTTTTAAAAATTAAACGATCAGATGCGCGGTACGACGTAAACACCCATCAAGTCATTCCCAGTTATTTTTTCCTGACAAATAAACAACACTAAACGATAAAAAATCAAAACTGTTTTATCAGAAAATTTCAGCACCTCGAAAAATGGAAAATCCACAGAAAACCAGTAAACAAAATGCGATCACGTAAAGTTAAACTCGACCGTTGTCTGATCAGACCCTGTAAAACATACGGCAACATTCACTTTCACTACGGGGCACACACCGCATCCGCCACATAAACCCTCACCTGTTCCGTACGGAATGTCATTTCCCGTTCCAGCTGTGATAAATGCGAAAAGAACCGATCATTCTCAAACAAACTGGACAGATGCCACATGTGGAAGATGGAGGCCCCCGCGAAGATGCCCACCCCAGCGAAAAACAGCGCGGGGAAGCTGCGGGAAGGGCTGCGCGCAGCGGAGGGTGAGCGCGACGCGGATCGTCCAGTTTTGGCTCGCGGCGATGAGCGCGACGACGCACTGTGCAGGGATTTCATCAGCAGCGAGCATTTGCTGGTCAGACGGGCGCGAATGTCGTGGATGTAGTTGACAATCTGGCCCGTGTCCATTTTACAAACAATAAACCTCAAGGGATCCGGAAACTAAAAAACAACACGGAATAAACTGGAAAACAGAGAATGGTGAAAAATAGGAGTGACAAATGATGATCAAAATAATATTCAAATCAATGAAATCATCAGGAGCGATGAAGTAGCGTGGAGAGGCGAGCTTATGCGCTGAGCCGACGAAATTCGTTACTGCATCTTTAGTATTTACATTCTGCCGGCGCAAATAAATTATTTTATTTTTTATTTATTTATTATTTTCTGTCCTATTTTATTTGAACTCATTTAGCTATTTTTTCCCGGTGTGAAAATCATCGTTCAGTAAATTGCCTTTTTTTCGTAATTTTTTTATTAGCGGGCGCTCTCTGATTGTACGAGCAAGTCAAATCTAAATCGGTAGCAGAGAATGAAAAAGTAAATGGAGCAATTTGAGCCTAAATGGTGCAAGCGCTCGTGCATTTTGACTTAATTTAAATTATCTAATAGATAAAAAAATTTTGAAAAAATATTGCAAAATGTCGATTATGAAAAACAGAAAGTGCTGGATTTATTAAAACATTGTAAACTAATACCTTGTATTTAAATACTGATGGATTTTCCAGTTTTTTAAAATTTTAGGCCACTTAATTTGCTTTGGCAGTTTTTATTCCATTCACTTATAGAAAGACGGAATATATTTTATGATATTTTTAGGAATTTAGAGGTCGGTCGTACATGTTTACTTCCGGTTAGTATTATTTCGATTATGTATTGTACTAGCAGTTTCAAAAAACTGGTTTCTTTGGTAGAATTGTTATTGAGGCGAATCTTGAATCATTAAAATTTAAAAGAAAAATTGTTTTACGAATTCACTGAAAGTTTCTTCGTGGAAAATCGACACACTGCTGCACTGCTGGGACTGTATTGTAAAGGTCATTAACTGTTTTACTAAATTATGCCGTCAGATGACAAACCGTAATTTGTGGATTTTAAGTCTATTATTAATTTTTTTCTTGTAGTTTTCAAGATTTTTCCTCGTTTTTATCTGGGCATTTAATATTATCGGGCCGTCTCGATAAACGAGCTGACTTGTGGATCAACAGTGACTCCGCTCGTTAAATTTCAAATTATATTTGATAAAGCTGGTTGCATTATTATGTTTTTAAAATGCAGATAATTGTTGAATTTATTATCCACAATCTGGTACTACAGTGAACAGTGTTATAATTTTCCTTCGGAAAAAATATAGCTTATTTAAAATTTCGCCAGAACACGATTTAGTGGCATTATGTCACAGTTCAAAGTTATCGTAGCTATTCTGATTTTTCAATTTTTTTCGATTTTTGTTGGAATTTTTGTAGTCGCAAACAGAGCGTTGCAATACTTACCTACAACATTATCTATATAATTACTGTAAACTGCATAAGTAAAGAAAAGCCCTTCAGCATTGCCGTTGTTCGTGGTAATGCGGCGGCAGTTTTGGGCACTTTGCCGCGTGTTAAACAGTTCAATAACGCTAATGATGGTATTGGATGTTTTGGTAGTACCTAATTTTGTAGCAGTAGTGTCTGGTTAATACTGTCATAATTATAATTTTAAGTAAAGAAAATATCTAAAAATGGAAAACATCAAGGAAATTATAAAATCTTTCCTTCAGATTATATGTTTTGGTCCACGGATCAAATTGTTATTTAAACAGATTTACAGAATGCTGTTGCAGCAGTGTTAAGTTGTTTGAGTGCCGGTACAAGGCATTCAAAATCACGGGTAAAATATTCCCGTTGAAAGGGAACGAATGTTCGATCAACGCTATACTGTCGCTTCATATGGATAATATTCCAGTGTAAATAATTAGCGCATAATTCGCCGGTCAGCACTCCACATATTCGATGTGCGCAACATGGACAATTATATTTTAATAAAACCTAATTATTCATGCTTTATTCAATCGTATAATATTACCGCTTTTTTCACTGCCGGAAAGGAAAACTGAGCGTTGATCAGGATATTTTGTGTGGACTGTAAGCCCGGCTGATATACTCGCATGTGCGGCACCGGCGAAGCCGGTTGCCGTACATGTGAGTTTATCAGTCGTACCAGTAGCGGGGGCCGCCAAGCCCGGCTGATATACTCGCATGTGCGGCACCGGCGAAGCCGGTTGCCGTACATGTGAGTTTATCAGTCGTACCAGTAGCGGGGGCCGCCAAGCCCGGCTGATATACTCGCATGTGCGGCACCGGCGAAGCCAGTTGCCGTAAATGTGAGTTTATCAGTCGTACCAGTAGCGGGGGCCGCCAAGCCCGGCTGATATACTCGCATGTGCGGCACCGGCGAAGCCGGTTGCCGTACATGTGAGTTTATCAGTCGTACCAGTAGCGGGGGCCGCCAAGCCCGGCTGATATACTCGCATGTGCGGCACCGGCGAAGCCAGTTGCCGTAAATGTGAGTTTATCAATCGTACCAGTAGCGGGGCCGCCAAGCCCGGCTGATATACTCGCATGTGCGGCACCGGCGAAGCCGGTTGCCGTACATGTGAGTTTATCAGTCGTACCAGTAGCGGGGCCGCCAAGCCCGGCTGATATACTCGCATGTGCGGCACCGGCGAAGCCGGTTGCCGTACATGTGAGTTTATCAGTCGTACCAGTAGCGGGGCCGCCAAGCCCGGCTGATATACTCGCATGTGCGGCACCGGCGAAGCCGGTTGCCGTACATGTGAGTTATCAATCGTACCAGTAGCAGGGCCGCCAAGCCCGGCTGATATACTCGCATGTGCGGCACCGGCGAAGCCGGTTGCCGTACATGTGAGTTTATCAGTCGTACCAGTAACGGGGGCCGCCAAGCCCGGCTGATATACTCGCATGTGCGGCACCGGCGAAGCCGGTTGCCGTACATGTGAGTTTATCAATCGTACCAGTAGCGGGGGCCGCCAAGCCCGGCTGATATACTCGCATGTGCGGCACCGGCGAAGCCGGTTGCCGTACATGTGAGTTTATCAGTCGTACCAGTAGCGGGGCCGCCAAGCCCGGCTGATATACTCGCATGTGCGGCACCGGCGAAGCCGGTTGCCGTACATGTGAGTTTATCAGTCGTACCAGTAGCGGGGGCCGCCAAGCCCGGCTGATATACTCGCATGTGCGGCACCGGCGAAGCCGGTTGCCGTACATGTGAGTTTATCAATCGTACCAGTAGCGGGGCCGCCAAGCCCGGCTGATATACTCGCATGTGCGGCACCGGCGAAGCCGGTTGCCGTACATGTGAGTTTATCAGTCGTACCAGTAGCGGGGGCCGCCAAGCCCGGCTGATATACTCGCATGTGCGGCACCGGCGAAGCCGGTTGCCGTACATGTGAGTTTATCAGTCGTACCAGTAGCGGGGGCCGCCAAGCCCGGCTGATATACTCGCATGTGCGGCACCGGCGAAGCCGGTTGCCGTACATGTGAGTTTATCAGTCGTACCAGTAGCGGGGGCCGCCAAGCCCGGCTGATATACTCGCATGTGCGGCACCGGCGAAGCCGGTTGCCGTACATGTGAGTTTATCAATCGTACCAGTAGCAAGGGGCCGCCAAGCCCGGCTGATATACTCGCATGTGCGGCACCGGCGAAGCCGGTTGCCGTACATGTGAGTTTATCAATCGTACCAGTAGCGGGGGCCGCCAAGCCCGGCTGATATACTCGCATGTGCGGCACCGGCGAAGCCGGTTGCCGTATGTGAGTTTATCAATCGTACCAGTAGCGGGGGCCGCCAAGCCCGGCTGATATACTCGCATGTGCGGCACCGGCGAAGCCGGTTGCCGTATGTGAGTTTATCAGTCGTACCAATAGCAGGGGCCGCCAAGCCCGGCTGATATACTCGCATGTGCGGCACCGGCGAAGCCGGTTGCCGTACATGTGAGTTTATCAATCGTACCAGTAGCGGGGCCGCCAAGCCCGGCTGATATACTCGCATGTGCGGCACCGGCGAAGCCGGTTGCCGTACATGTGAGTTTATCAGTCGTACCAGTAGCGGGGGCCGCCAAGCCCGGCTGATATACTCGCATGTGCGGCACCGGCGAAGCCGGTTGCCGTACATGTGAGTTTATCAGTCGTACCAGTAGCGGGGCCGCCAAGCCCGGCTGATATACTCGCATGTGCGGCACCGGCGAAGCCGGTTGCCGTACATGTGAGTTTATCAGTCGTACCAGTAGCGGGGGCCGCCAAGCCCGGCTGATATACTCGCATGTGCGGCACCGGCGAAGCCGGTTGCCGTACATGTGAGTTGCCGATTTAAAAGGTTGCCGAGTTGAAAGGTCATCGATGACAAGTGGTGGCGGTTACTGGTTTTTTTACATACCTGAATTAGGTTACAATCATTTGAATTTAAATTGATCATGCAGTGTCGGTTCTCTATGAGAGTATACACTGCATTATGGTTAGAAACGGAGAAGATTAATATAAAGTTGAGTTTGGCTGTGTGGAAATTGACGATCATTATTGAGCTCATCTGTATCTGTACATACCCTGCAGTTCAAACATTGAAACGACCACGTCAAAAATCAGAAGATCCCTTCCATTTATATTATAGTATTTTCTTTACTGGACGAGCCGCTGGATGCTGCTTTCGAATTTTAATTCGGATTCGAAAGGATATGATAAAAATATTATAAAACATATACCGGCACTTCGCAGTTGTATGACCACATTCGCACTTTTTCGTAGCTCATTACAACGAGACTATTTCACCGGTGACGAACGTTCATTCGGTAGGATCTTCCGGTTCTGGTCAGTGCCCGGTTACACTGTTAGCTGAACTCAGCGGAAAACTTGGCAAATTCAATTCATTCAGATTCATTCATTTCATTCAGAACTTGACCTTGCTTGCAGAAGTAACATAGTGGCTGTGTTATCGCTGCAGCTTTTAGGCAGGGCCAAGAAGCGGAATAAATTTGCATCAGTACATTCTGTGCACGAATTAGTACACCGTGCACGAAGGTGGCGGTATGCCGCTGCCAGAACTGTCTTCAAACTCTCCCCACCCTTAAGGTTACATGCTGCGACCGTTTTTGCTTGAAACAATCCATCTGGCGTGCGGGGCCGACGCGATGCAGCCGAGTACGGTGCTGTGGAAACACGAAGGTAATCTTTATCCGCCCAGCAGAATGACGGCCGGAGCCCCGGCCCTTCGCTAAATAGCCGCATCCACAGAGTAGCCGACAGGCGCAGATGATCCACACCAATACGTCACATATTGCCGGCGCCGACGGTCGCCAGTGGTGCGCCTCGACACTGACGCTGCACGTACCACGACCGGATCACACCGGAGCCCGGCTGGAGTGCTGCATGGGGGCGCCGATCAATCGAGACCACTAAGCAGGAATGCTTTGTCCTCAGCACTCCGGTCCAGTTCAACGGGAATCTGTCGTTCCCCGGACAAAGGTGCGCATGGTATCTGGCGGCCTTCTGTGTATTATAAACGAATTTTTCGCTGCATATCATGAACTGAACCTACAGAAAATGTGAACTTTCGGGCGAAGCTGACACACGTACGTTTATGTATTGTGAGAATTACTGGAAATCCTATAAAATCTAGTACATTTATTACGAATTTCTTGTACAAAGCTTACTTGGAGCATGGTTTATTATTCATTGATAAAATATCTCCGTAACACATACGTGTACTATAGAACGTGATGACCTTTATACCTATGTTTCGCGCGGGGATTTAAAATTCATTTAGGAAAGTACTCGTATCTGTAGAGTGCTAGTTTCGCGCGGAGCGAGAAGTTAACAGTCGATTTTATTGCAAAAACCGCTAAAATCTTCTGTTTAATCAACCAGTTTCTAATCGTTATTAATTTTATAATTTACAAAGCAAAGCATTTTTTTACAAACGAATGGGAAATACGCGAAAAGAAAAACGGTGTGCGCGGATGTAACGTTCCCATAATTATCGCGTTTTCCTTCACTGTTCATTTTTTTGCGTGCGGGAATGCACTCAGCCATGCAGATGCTGTTTTAGCGTAACTACATTTCTGGCGCCGTGACGCGTGGCTTTTCGCTCGTTGTTTAGATTTTTATTCCTACTTATTTGCAACTGTCTCCTTTACGCAGTGCGCATTGCGCAGTGGGAATCCGTTCGTATTATTAAGCACAAACTATTACAGCGGCCATACTGGCTGAATTTCCTTAGTGATACTTGTACACATGTTTCGAATTAGAGAAAAATTCGTATACAATTTTGCTCATCATACCATAAAGAATTTAACATAAACTAATGTACATAAATAATAGTCATCACGCATTAGCACCCGTGCACCCGTGACTTTGTGGGCAGCACCGAACCAAAAGATTAAAATGTAGCTAGATAGCACTATAAAAGCCGGAATGCCCGGTCGCCGAAAAGAACTCTTTGCTGTGAACTTCTGATTGTTTATCACAAAAATGAGGCTGGCCATTTGCCCCAAACCATTTGTCGGCGTTTCTCGAGCATAGGCGTTAACAATATTTAAAATTAATTAATTTACTAAAGGGTACATGGCCTGACCCAGTAGATGGCACTAATTAAGGTACCACGGAAACTTTCAAACTAATAGAAATCACTATAGTCATCTGCGGCTAATGTACAAAGTATGCTGTTTTAACGCTGAAGCACCCGCATTAATAAACAAAGTACTGCATTAATAACATTAATAACGCATTAATAACAAAGTAGTTTCGAAATTTATCGTAGTGTAGCGACCACAGGACTGGCATGTTAACCGCAAGCTTAATCAGATAATCGCCTACACGTAAAATGTCAGGCCATTTTCGGGATAAATTTTTCATTTGCGAATTTTATGCCGTATTAATGAAACCATGGTAGACTGTGAATCTGTGATGAAACTAACTTGACGCATTTGTTAAATAGCCATCTGGTAAGATAGATCGATTCAAACTGTCATAAAAAAATCGTGAATAATCTGCATCATTTGCAAAATTTGCATTTGCAGTTTATCCACAATAATTATTTTCATCAGCGAGCACCGCTCAGTAAACACTACACACACATAAAAAATTAATTAAAGTGCCATAATTATGAGATTATTACGTGAATAAGAATCGAGCACACCATTTAAGTTATTGTAATCATGATTCCAATTTATTATTTGTTTCAACACATTCAACATTAATCATTTCATCAGCAAACGAGCCGCAATAACCGCGAAATGAAAGATATAAAAATTATGAAAACCATTCAGTCACAGCGATCTGAATCTGCATTGCTCAGCGTAATTTCCGGATAAAAGCTAAACAGCCGCGCGGGGAAAGAATACTACTCATCAAATCAAAGAAAAAAATAACGACGCAACGTAAAAACCAGCACAGTTAAAGGGTAAACGTAAAATCAACCGAAAAAAACGTCCACAAGGCTTTGAAGCGGTTGAGTACAGCGACACAAGAAAAATCAAAGAAAAACAGCATTATCATCGCAAAATTCGCAGGCCACGCGCTGCCGCTAAAAAAATCACCGGACATCGCTGCCGACCGAGAGATTGCAGGGGAAAATGACGTCCATTTCCGCATTCGACTGTCCTCATATTGAAACACAAATCATCAGGAAAATGGCAAAATAACACACGGAAATTTCGTCAGAAAATGGCACAATAATCCGCAGATAATTCGTCGAAAAATGGCAAAATAATCCGCAGAATTTTGTTCTCGCAAAATGCCCAAATATTCAGCAGATACTGTATTTCTTCAAATAATGGTACATTAATCCACGGATATTTCATCAGAAAAATGGCAAAAAAATCCGCAGATAATTCGTCAAAAACTGGCAAGGGATTCCTTCGATAGTCCGCATCATCAAAACAATAAATTTCACGCTTCCAACTGCACCAGTACGTCGGAATTGGACCGGGTGGGCTGCTCGAAGGGCAGCGCCGGCGTCCCGTTGCGTTCGTCTCCCTTGTCCTCGTCCTCCTCCGGATCGTAGATGGGATCGGGCATACTGATGGGGAAGAGTTCGGCGTTGACGTTCGGCCGGCTGACACCGGTCTCCTGATCGAGACGGGCTTGATCCTGGTCCTCCTTCCAGATACTGTGGAATTTCGCCTTCCTATTATCGAAGGAATGCATTTGTCAAAATCATTTACAAAGAGCAACGTCATAATTACACAGTAAATTAATTAATCAAATTAACTAAAAAATTATCCTAAAATGATCCAATAATTTTCAATTTTTCATGCACTTCTGCTAATTATCGATTAGCTTATAATGTGCAACAAAATTATAAGCGCACTCACTCTGCATGTCTCTACTCTACATAATAAATCACAACGAAAACTTATTAAATAAATAAATAATTAGGTAACAACAAATTAAACTCATACAGCAAATAAGTAATAATCCTAAACATAAGTTTAACATTTAACGTTATTTGATTCACCAGCTTGCAATATCGGGCATGAGATTTGCTACTGATAAATCAATGCTAGCGTCCAAGGGACCCCCTGGCACAGAGCCGTTGCACTACATCACCTTATACTCAAATCAGAAATGCACTGCTGCGTCGTACTCGTACTTAGTACCGTCCAGAATTGAATAAACAACACGGCACTGAAATAAAAACGGCTAAGAATACTGAAGAATTTCGCCTTCCTGATAAAAGAATGCATTTAATAAAAATCATTTACACCGTAAATTTATTTTGTTAATCAACCTGGAGATAAAACTAACCATGCAATTATTTACTCATAAATACATAATTATACGGTATTATTGAATGTAACAGCATATGTACTCGTAACTGGTCAATTATCAATCGTTTTATCCCGCACCAAAGTGCCAGCGCGCTCATACTACATACCAATTACAAAAACGCTCAAAGTGAATAAACAAATAAATTGAAAAAGTAAGCTGATAAAGCAAACAATTAACCGCATTAACCAATACAATACTTCTTAAAAATCAAATTAATCAGACTTAATATGAAAAATTGTGGAAGAGTTACCAGCAATATGTCTGAAAGTATTAATGATTTTTCAACGGTGAGTATTGTATTTAAGTGAATCAGAGCCATTGCACTACACAATCCTATACCGAATCTGAACTGCTGCGCGGAATCATGTAGTACTGTCCCGAAAAAAAACTGGCACCGAAATAAAAATGGCTAAAGATTAAACCGTGTGGAACGTACCCGCGCACCGCCTCGCTGTCCTCGCGTTCCAGCATGCGAACGAGGACGCCGCTGTCTTTCTGGATGGGTCGGCCGGCCGCCATCGCCGACACGCCCAAATCGCGCACCGCGCGAAATTCCCCGCAGTTGTTCAGATGCTCGTTCTCCAGACGGAAGAAATTCCACACAAACCGCCTGCACACATTTACCCAAGATTATAACCCGCGTAAATTTCTGCCAAGTGATTGTTTGCCTCCAGTTAGCATTTCAAACAATTAAAAGACATGTAATTTGTAGAAAAAACTAATTCAGTTAATATACTTGATTTAAATTAGCTGATTACGTCAATTTATTCTGTTTAATTCAAATTTATTTTAACCGTTTGATATCCTCATTTATATGAACTTAGTTAAACAGTTATTAAATTTGAATTACAAATTAAATTTGAATTAAATCATTAAATCATTACCTTATTGAATTCTTATATTTTTTCTTTTCATTGCACTGCACTGCAGGAATCCTTATATTTTTTTAAATTTTTCGTTTGATATTAGCAGCAAATAACGCTTACCGATACACTTATCTGTAAATTAAAAAAATAATTTCCAATTCACATCAACTTTCTAAAAACTGCCCAGTACCGAAATAGTTCCAGCGTGGCCAAAAACGCCAGCAGCAGTTCGTGATGGATGAGGCCCAGTTCATCGACGGAGATGGAGATGGTCCAGGCGAAACGCAGGATAAAATCCTGGACGATGGCCAGATAATAGTACCACAGCTGCGGATAGATGAGGCCGTCGCGTAGGAAGAGGTGCTCCTTGGCGTTCGGGTCTAGAAAGCCCCAATCCATGCGGATGTCCCAGGCAAAGGAGTAGCACGAACTGACCACCGCCGTAATCACCCACATGTAGAACACCGGGCGTTCCCCGATGAAATCCTCCGCGTAACGCTCTACCGGTGCAGCATTACGGAAATTATTCAAAAAATTATACGATAAGGCAATAGTAATAACATTCAGAAAATTATAATACCTGGGTAAAAACAATCGACCAAAATAAATCAATGCCATGAAAAATAAAAGTTGTACGATAAATACAAAACTTAAGAAAACCGAAACAACCTCCATCTTCAACCTCGTATGAACCTCCAAACTAGTGTTAAAGCGAAGCATTTCGAAAACAATCACAATCCGTTTTATCACTTTTATGTAATTATGCAGTAGTTATCAAACAAAAAAATTAAACAAATGCGGACATATTTTCGCATTTTAAATTTCAACCCTTTGCCAGCGAGTGTAGAATTATTATTATCGCGAAGAGAGGACCTCCAAAGATACATTACACTACGACAATGTTCAGTAATTCAACGGATGATTTTCAGTCACGCTGAACAAAATATAAAACAAATCGAATAAACATCATCAAAATTCAAAACGGTTATTAAAGTGGAATTAAGCGGCAATATTCAAAATTGATTAAAGCAGTAACTACAGTATGTATCACGAGTATTACGTAAACGTACCGACATGCATGGAGTTGAGGGCGGAGAAGAGGACGACGAAGAAGAGCATGCTGTACTTGCCCGCGTTGACCAAATGGGGGAAGGCCAGCTTGGAGTCCCGGTAACGCCGCAGACACTGCGCGAAACGGAACCACGCCGGCAGCGCGGCCAGAATCGGCCGGATGGCGTTACTGTTCGACGTGCACATCTTGGAGGGATCTGTCAATTTATCCCCAGAAATAATCAACACAAAAATTCAGAAAAAATTACAACCTGCTGAAAAGTACTACAATAATTGCAGGATAAATAGTAACTTCCTTAAATATTACAAAACAATTCCAGATAAAACAACAGCTTGATAATAAAATATTACTACAATAATTCCATATTAAAATCAGAATTTGTGAAAATATTACAAAACCTTGTTAAAATATTACAAAATAATTCCAGAGAAAAATGCCAAGCTGTTGAAAAAAACCTTGTTAAAATATTACAGTACCTGGTTAAAATATTACAAAATAATTCCAGAGAAAAATGACAACCTGTTGACATCTTACTACAACAATTCCAGAAAAAATCATAAATTGTTAAAATATTACAAAGTAATTCCAGAAAAAATGTTACTTGCTAAGGTAATAAAAGAATAATTTCAGAAAAAAGATCACTTGTTAAAACCTACACAGTAATCCTCTAAAAATGTCACTGTAACTTGATAAAATAAAAAATATTTTCAGAAAAAAAGATACCTTGTTAAAATATTGTAACAACAATTCCAAGAAAAAAATTGTGTTTAAAACTTATCATACATGCGTGTCGAATTATGTGGCGGCAGTTTAGGAGAGAAACAATGCTGCACAGGACTTACGCGGAATTCCCTTGGTGACCCAGGGCACTTCGAAGATGTAGAAACAAACTGAGTATTCGATGTCGAGGAAGGCCGGCGTCAGACTGGTGAACTGGTCGCCCAGCCAGAAATCGGCGAAGCCCACGGGATGCAGCGGCGCCGTGATCACGCGGAACTACACAACACCAGACAATTGACAACTCCACTTTAGGAATAAATTATGTGCGAAAAGGGGCGCGTAAGAAATAAGACAATTAATTATTCTGCCTGTAAGAAAGCACTGACAAATTATTAAAATGACTACGTTTCTTCACCCATGATTATTTTCTACCGAATATGTAAACGAATAAAAATATTATTATTCAAAAAAATACTGTTTTACTCTAATAATCTTTCCAAAGAAGAAAATAATATTATTAATAGTCTTTTAAATCTTTTGTATATATTGTTATTAATTTAGTTTTACAGTCTTTAGACTCAGCTGTATCTGTAAATCAATCCAATGAGTGTTGCTTTATTAGGAAAGATGTGACAGGAATATACATCGCTACGTACACGATATACGGGTTTTCAAATTGTAAAAGAGTTAACGAGCTGGGAAAAAATTCACATTCTCAAACTCAATTTCAATCTGATTTATTCATTGAAAATAACGAGGCGCATACTCCGTGTAGCCTGTGTAGGGCATTAGATGTTATGCCCGTAATATCAAGCCAGTACACTACAAAACCATTACATCATGCCGTATTTGAAAGGACTGGAGATGAAACGGCATTTGAAACTAGAAAATTAATTTTTTACAACTTGTTTTCCACCACTTTTCGGCTGTAAACAAACTGAAAGAAAAATTAATGGTTTCATTACTTTTCAGCAGTCATTCGTTGTATTTTAAGGAATCAATTTGTTCCATTTCTTCATTCAAAATAATTTAATCAAAAACATGCAAAAAGTTTATTTCCGGTCGTTTTTTAAATTGTCAAAACCCATTTAATTTTGAATGATGTGACTGGAAGCTGAGCCTGTACATGCATAAAAAGAGAATAAAAAAATTCGTTTTAGTGTAGCAGTGTGTTTTTATTTACGAAACGGTATGGCGGACACCATAACGGATTTAAATATTATTTACTTAGGTTTATGCAGGCAATTGGGAAATTACCCGTTGACTACGATGTCATTCGTACTGCTGTCAGTGGAAGACTGCACAAAATAATACTGGAAATGAATGTTATTTATTTTTTAATTTCCGGTTATAGTGGTCAAATTACTGTAAAACCACTTACCATGATCTTGATCACCCATTTCCGCGCATCGTAACATAGAACGTGAAAAGGATTGATGAAGAAAATGAGCATCAGGCCGGAGAAGATGAGCGGAAGGGCATAATGTGAGATACCCAGGAAATCGCTGTAGAAGAACAGCAGCAGACTGATGCACCACAGCACGCCCATACACGCTGCCAACTGCGAACAACAAACGCCGTCAAGTCGCGCAATTCCTCAACACTTTTCACACAAAATAGCTGAGAAATTAATTTACATAATAATCATGGCCGCTTGATCGCAGAAAAAAATGCTGAAGAAGTATTTTAACAGAAAAATACTGGCGAGAAATATAGCAAAACACAAAATGGTACGAAAAGATTTTAAGAAGAGAGAAAGAAATTATTTTAAGAAAAAATTACTGGCGAAGTTAAGAAAAAATTTTAATTGTAAGAAAAACATTTTTTTTAAGAAAAAAATTTTAAGAATTTTTTAAATTAATTTTAAAAAAAATTACTGGCGAACGAAATACAGCAAATGGTAGGAAATAATAATCAAAATGAATGTTATTTTTTTCTAAAACTTCTAAGTACTCCACTAAAAAAACAATACCAAAATTTAAATAATCTATGTATTGACGGGAAATTCTATAAACAAAATACTTAAAATAAATAAAAAATAATACCAGAAAAGTGAAAACATAATATGCACTGGCAGGAATCTATAAATAAAACACTTAAAAATAAATAAAATAACTGTCATTTATTCACAACTTTCCAAGTATTTTCCGGTGTACAATTTGGTAATAAATTATTCACATCTAGAGTATATTTATTAAATCGAACTTGCATGAGAAAGCATGATATCGACTGTAATTTCAACAAATAATTTTATCACTAATTTTAAATCGAAAAAAGGAAAAATTCCGCTGCGTATTGGATGCGCTTATTTGTTGATCATCAGCGCAACTCGTTCCCCCATCGCACAACACTAATTAACTACCGCACCTCCATGATGTGATGCTGTGACAGGTGATTACGCGGATCCAGCTCGAAGATGAGCACATGATTAACGCCGGCTGCGCGCCAGCCGTGCACGTTGAAGGCGAAGAGGAACAACATGATAATCAGCAGGAAGGGGCCGCGGTACAGCCGCGTGACGATGCGCCAGTCGACAATCTCCTTCTTCTCGGCAATCAGGTCCATCTGGGTGCCGTTCACCGTCCCGTTGGCCGTCACTATCTTCCATTCATTATTCGGGAAACCGATAAAAATACCTAGCAATACCCAACCGGAAGTGCCATTAATAACGGACAAAACCGAAATCAATTACAGAAAAATTCAATCAGTACACACAGTCAAATAGAGATGTCACAAAATAAACAGGAAGCGTAGTAAGCGAAAGAACATAAACGAAAAACGGAGTTAATAAATGAATGAAAACCATTTTTCGTATCTTCGAATAGTTACTTCACTTTACAAGGTTACTGCACATTTATGCACAATGCAAATTTCTTACCGAATAATCGAACAGCTTCCAGTTTTAAAATGAGTTAATTATAAGTTCTGTTTTCTGTTGGATAGTTCACTCCTTTTGCATTTTCTGAATAACCTAAACAATGTAATTTGTTGCACAATTTACTGATATTGCTTTTCTGAACAAATTCATTTAGTTTTAAAACTATCGGATAATCTGATCCCTTTTGCATTTTTTTTAATAACGTAACCACTTGTAAAGTTATTAAATTATTCGTTCATATATTATTTTTTTAAAAAATTATCTGCTGTAATCATTTGCATATGTATTCACAAATACCCTTGTATACTGATTTTTCACGTTTTAGTAAAAAACTATCAAACAAAAATCTGAAAATTTATCCTTGAATTTCCATTTTCGCTGCTGTCTAATATTTCGATAATTGTTGAGTTAAAACTATACAGGCATGCACTACACTACGCTTTTTCATTGATTGTATGGTATGAGCAGCACAGACGGTGCCCGATTACAGCTTACCTATACCTATTTCGCATTTAAGCCAGTGTTCTGATGGATTTTCTCATGTACTCGTACTTATGTAGTAAATTGTAACTTGTACTTATGCAGTAAATTGGCTGCAGACGCTCTGAGATGAAATACTGCCCAGCTTCGCTTCGGTCTTTTAGTGCTAGCCTACAGCGTAGCGCTTTCCTGGTTCATCTCTACTTTTTTAACGGTTTTAATAATTTTTATTCTTTACTTTTTACTCTCTTTCCTTATTTGAATTATTTTACTATTTTCTTATTATTTTTGTTTTACTCTCTAAATCCTCATTTTCTGAATAATTTGTCCATTAATAGATTTACTGGATAAATTTAAGTACACATATTTTCCTTACTGGATAACTAGCTGAAAAACGCATCACAGAGCACCGGAAAATCCGAGAAACACCCGCGTTAACCTACCGGTTAGAATGAGCACCACCAGTAAGACCAGAAAAATACCGAGGAACAGTCCCATGAGGAAAAACACGGAAGGAGGAGCCTACGGCGATGAGATGCGCATTTTCTTAATTTTAACACAAAATGACCGCCTTACCGGCTCATTCAGCGGAGGCACCCGCAGACGCTGCATGGCTTTGCCCCGGTTGCCGCCCTCCAGATCGCTGACGTACAGATTCTAACGGGAAGACAACGAAAGTAATTACATTTCCTGGATTATCGATTCCATTTTGTTATTGCCGCTGGCCACCGGCAACGCGCAGATTACGCATCAATTTTGCAGCCTACTTCCGTATCCAGAATTAATTTTTCAATCTCCTTGCTGGTGTGGAAAGGCGCGGTCTCCACTTTCTCCTGCCGCCAAAGCGTTCCACTGTGGGTGTTTAAAATCTAAACAGCAGAAAATCCATGAAAAACAATGGCTTATGAAGAGAACAGTGCAACAGTACAATAATCGGACCAAGGCTGAATGCCAGCATAATACGAATAAACGTAGTGCAGAGGCTACATAGACTCTGAGTCGTCGGTGTTAACGAATTGGCAACTCTGACAATGAAGTTTCAAATTGCAGTGATTAACTTTCAAAGACAGTAAATTTACCCAGTATTTTTTTTTAAATTTCAAAAGACAATTTGCTGTTAAAATTATCTCTTATACAACCACATAGAAAACAAATTATTTTTCCATCGCATAAAATCAAGCAAAAAAATAATACACTCACAAATCAATGAAATTATCAGAAAAAAATACAAAACACCTTTCACGAACATAACAGCTCAAAATTCTTAGTGTCAAGATGGAAAGAAATGACAGATGACTAGCACAATTAACAACTGAATAATCCGAGGAAAACAGGAGAGAAACGGTACCTTGTCGTGCTTTTTGAGTATCTTGCGGAAGCCGGTGAAGTTGAGGTTCTGGAAGTTCTGCAGGAGGATCAGGCTGAGGTAGAACTCGGAGAAGGCCATCTTGAGATCGTGGATCTTGCGGTAGCGGCGTTTGGCCTTGCGCACGTCCTTATCCACCAGATCGGCCAGCCAGGGCATCTTGTGCACACGGTCATCCGCGTGTTCCGGCCGCGATTTATGCGCCTTCAACTCGCTCCTCAGCGCCGCAAACTTCCGCTGCGCTTCCGCTAATTTCTCTATAAAATGCCACGGATATTTGTACACAAGTACGGACAATGTAATCCATGCGACAATAAAATGCAATCAATAATCATTAAATTACTAAAATAAAACTAATAAAAGAGAATAAAAAAGAAGGTTGCAACGAAACCAATCACAACGCGGTTAAAAATTTGTTAACAACAATTTCGGACAAAATACTGCAGAAACACACAAACAAAATGCTCGCCATCAGAAGGATCTCTAGCCATAAAAAAACAGCTATAAAAAACCATAAAAAAAAACAGCCATAAATAAAAACAGCCATAAAAAACCTTCGTGTTATTCACGAAATTCGTTAATAATTATGTGTCGAAATTATGTGTATGTGTGTTATAATTATGTATTCAAATTACGTGTTATTAAATCAATATGTGCTGAATTATGTGTGATTATGTGTTGATTATGTCTCGTTTGCGAAGACATTTCAACACATGGAATTGCATTTTTTCTTATTATTATTTTTCGCCGTAAAATGTTTTTTCTGTTAATAATAAAACAGAAATCGGCGTCCAACCTGGAAAATGTTCATGACTCACCGGCGAAGAATGTGTTGACTTTGGTCAATTCCCGATCACAATACGTGAAGAAATTCTCCTCAAACTGCACGACAAAATGCAGCAGATCCGTGGATTTCTGCTGGCGTTCTTCTTCGCTTCCGGTGCCACCTGCTCCACACAACAGGATGAACGTAAGGCGATTGTATGGCAAATTAATTATTACATAAGCCGATAAGCGTGCGCGTCTTCTGGAATTATCCATTGCGGAATTAAATCGCAACATTCAAAATAAATATAATTACACATCACGTTACATTATAATCCTCACGCGATAATTAATTCCGTAAGAAATCAACAGTCCAGAAACGGAAAAGCGAACAAAATGCAAAGCGATGGACAATTCACCTTCAAATGTTTTCAGATAATGTTTATTATGAATGTAATTTTCATATTTTAAAATATTTAAATAAATTATATTTCAAATTTTATCTATTTAAAATATTTAATACAATATTTAAAATAATGATTATGAAGGTAATTTACAATGGCGATTTTACTTATTGTTTAGCCAGGATTTTATTTAATCCAAGTTTGGAATTTTCGAAATTATTACGTGAGGAAAACCGAAAAACAGATGGAAATGCGCGGAAAATAACAAATGGAAATACTAATAATAAATACTACTAAGATAATAATAAATACATGTAAGACAAAAATAAAAATTAGGTAATGTAAAATACTGTATTAAAATACAGATTACGAATTATTACTGCCCAAAGGCCAAACAACCTGATTACAGTGGCCAAAATGTTATGTAATCCATTGGAAGATTTGCATTTAGATAATAATCACAACGGTATTAATTTCCATTACGCTGCGTTTCCTTTCTCTCCGTCACGGTACGATACACCACGCAACAAAAAACCAGTCGGACGAAGAAAAAATGGCTGCACGCCAAACTCACCAAGCTGCGCGGGCGCATGCTGCGGCACCTTTTCCAGAAGCTCCTTCATATCCTGCAAAACACCAGCCCTAACCCATAATTATCCTGATCAAGCGGACGACACAAGAGAATTAATCGCAGCGGAGAAAAACAAGGGAGAATGCTGAATGCCTACGTCGTAGTTGATATACTGTGTCCGCCATTCGGGCGTCACATGCGCCGTCAGATGTTGGCCAAACTTCATCTTGCATTAGGAACACGGGGGGAAAGACGACTATGCTTCAGATCATACGAAAAAGCAGCCAGATCATGGGGGAAATCAGCAATGGCAACGAGGAGCGACGACAATGCCAGGAGAATGAGAAAATTGGAAAAACCAGTTCATGTTCAGAAGACACACCATGAAACCCGCTGCTCACAGCGGGACACGCTTAACGAGGCGCGTTTACGATGCAAAACACCGTGCGCATTGGAGAATAATTCCGCTGACAAAAGATCGTAAAACGATGGTGAGTAAACGGAGAAATCTTTCGTCAAAAGTGAAAACTGAGTCAAGCAAGATACAAATGACATAATCAGACGCTGGCTCGGTTTTTATGGATAGCAAGGAAAATCGCGAACAGCAGGACAGAAATACAGGCGGAAGCAACGGACATATGGAAGCCTACAGAGAAATGAGCCGTCGCGCCTTATTTCCGCATCACTTGTAGTACTACAAACGCAAAATTAACTCGGCACAACTCAGAGTATTCCTGGTTGGTGATAACGAGCTGAAGATGTTTGTTCGTATTTGCTGACTTTTCAGAATTCCGAAACCTTTTCGTTTTGACCACGAAGAACAGGTATCAAACTCAATAATTAAATGTTAAAATTTTTATTTAAAATCTAGAATTATTTGCTCTGTTATTTGGTAAACCGTGGCGAGTGAAAATAAAGGCAAACGAAAAGTATTGACAAATGCGCACAATACTTCCGGGTGTGAAAGCAAGCTCGCCACGTGACGCAACCTATCTGCTATACTTTGGGTGCAACTGCAGCGACTAATTTTGGTAAAAAATTGCTTAAAATTGTTTGAATTTGGATGTTTTTTCTCTTCTAATTTCCCTATCTGGAAAGGCTGCTTTTGTATGAGTTGAATCAGCTGTGATAGTCGCATCGTATAGAAGAACCATGCGTCTGTTTTCCCGTTATTACGCGGCGCAAGCGGTGGCCAGCACGGCCGAGGAGTGCGGAGTGCCAACCAAGAGCCAGCAGCAGCGTCTCCCCAAACCACAGCTGCGCAATACCCTGGCCACGGCCACCAAGAAACACGCCATCATCTGCTTCGCGGTGGCCATTACGGCGTGTCTCAGCTATCGCTACTTTATTGGGGAGCCACGCAAGAAGAAATACGCAGAATTCTGGAGGTAAGCGTATGTATGGGAATAAATTGGTGACGGGATCCTTTCAACGGAGTTGTTGTGGCTAAAAACCTGTTCAGCTAATGGAGTGAGCTATGGTGGTATACTGAGATTTGGAATGTTAAGCACGATTACGTCTACGTCTGAAGGATATTTCCAGTTTTTCGCTGATGTTATGCCTTTTTCTCCGTAGAACCTTCGACTCGCATGCGGATTTTAAGCGAATGGTGAAGGCAGGCGTGTTCGAGAACATCACTATGGCCGACTTTGACGAATATGAACAGGACTTACTGTAAGTCGAGAAAATTGATGATGCCATTAATCGCCAGTACGAACTACGAGTAGCAGATTTTTACAGTAATTTTTGAAAATTCCAGTTTTATTTTAATACTTGGTTATTTTATTTTATTTGATCACTCAGTTTACCGTCATGGCTATCGTTCCTGGTTTTCATACTTTTGTAGCTGTATTGTTTCCAGAGGTGTTTTCTGCGTTTAATTGTGTTTTGTAATAGTTTTGTGTTTGTGTGTGTTGAATATTTTGTCAGTGTTTGTTTGAATTTATTATTTATTTGGTTATTAATTTGGTAATCTGTTTGATTTTTTTCGTAGGAAAATCATGAATTGAATTAGATTATTTTCCATAAATGTGCCGTGCATTGCAGGAAGAAGCTGAAGGAGCGCAAGGGATAAAAAGGCCGTTGGAAAATAGCGGATGAATGGCTTTTTCCTGAAGTATAATCACGGAAGGATTGCCAGATTTTAACGTTGCATTTGTGTGGTGCGTGACGCTTCGTGGTGTGTTTATTCAGGCCGTTTTATTTTAATTTGTTTGTTCGAAAGAGTTGCGATTGTACAGCTGATCAGTTTCACTTCGAAATGGGTGAAATGTAACCGGAAATGAAATAAAGACGAAAGTCTGTTTACGAATTTTAAGACAGCTTCGCTACACTTTCCTCTTGCTGTAACTGAATTTGCCAAAATATAAAACTGCCATTTCGGCCAGTACGCTCCTACAGTCGGGATGCTCCGCACAACAACAAAAAAGCTGTTTATTATTTATAGCCGATTTTCTTTCCCACCATTTCTGATTGCTGTACAGTGTCCAGTGTATCTACGGTTTTGCCAAATCTCGCAAACAACGCATTTTTAACACTTCCGGCGCTTGACGCAATCACAACCGCCCTGTGCGGCAGTGTACACTGGTAATTATTCTGGCAGTTTGAAGTTTGAACTTCATCGTCAACTTCTCATCAGTCTTCTGATTTTCAACCTTTCGTCTCAGAAAGTCATTTCCCATACCGAAAATTGACTGTGAATGAAAAGTTAAGTAACTCCAGGAATAGTTTTAAGTGGTAAATGTGCGGTTTTAAACCAGATTTGTGCGAAGCCAGCGGACTATGTCATGATTTGGGTTTTTAACGTCCACCGATTACAGAACATGCTTTCTAGCGTGAACATGTTAAGGTTTCCTCAGTATTTTTGACTAGGCAAAGTAAACAGCGCCTCCAACAACAGATTTTATCTTGCCAGTGGGTTATTGAGGATGCAATTACTCTGTAAAACCATTCCAGTGGATCTCTGGAATGCGGTGGACATGCTAGTTGACGGAGCGCAGCTGCAGCATGCAGACGTCATCAATGTCACGGATAAAGGATGCATCCTGGATTTCGACTATCCCGGACACCATGCATAGTTTATGGACTATGCAAACGGAAACGTTTTCACTGTAGAATGTCGACAGGTTCGCAATACGATCGACACCAGGAACTGGAGAGAGCATCGCGCGCGGATTCTAGGGAGCGAATCCAGGTTTAGCGCGAACTTCGACGGATCAGCCGTGGATATGGTACCCGGCCAGATTTCTCGTTCCCGGTCTGTTCGGGACATCGCACGTGTTGGCCGAAGTGCAGTGCGGAGGTCAAACCGTCCAGGATTGCTTTGCAGTGGGGGCGGTCCGTATTGTGCCGTCCAGGGAGGTCTTGACAGAGCGTGTCGTTCGTCCTTCGGATTTTCTGGTTGAGTCGCACACGTTGTGCCAGTCCTACACGGCCACCGGTGAAGGGCCGATGTCGGCTGCATTATGGAGTATGTGGAAGCAGCAGTTGGCAGGATGGAATGTCCTCCCAGTGAGCCATGTCGGCAAATCGGTGATGTACATGCTGAAGCCGGAGGAATATTATTCGTCGACCCCGATGACTGGCTATCGTGCGGTAAGCCGTGAAGGCGAGGCTTGATGATGTTTTTACTTGATCACTGTTATAACATAACCGGAGCCCTACAGTAGGAGGATCAAAGGAAACTATCTCGGTACATGATCTAAATTTTCGTATCCCTCCATTTAATAATCCCTTTCGCCCAGTCCGAAGCTGTATGTACTTGTATACTGCAGTGTACAGAGTTGGAAGCGGATCTCTTTACAGAAAAATGCGCAAGGAATTTAGAGGTGTGCGGAATTTAGGGGCATTTTTGCAGTTGCACAGCATTTTTGTTTGGGTACAATTACAGTATGTTTTTTATAGTAAGTATTTTAATTATTTAAAGACTACAAGCTTGTCCCGTAATTTTTAACGTGAATGTACATGCTACAGACTACAGAGTACAGATAGCGTGCATTTGCGACAGGTCGATAATTATGTATAAAATATAGGTGTTTTACGGTTTATACGAGTATCGATATTTGGCATGCATCAGCCATTTCAAATTCATGGTGAACGTAATTTAATGTTGAATGTAAATTTAAAATTCATGTTGAAGGTAAATTCATATGGCACCGTAGTATGCGGTTTGGCATATCACTCGTGAATTTGTAAGTGAATTTGTTATTGACGCTGTGTTGATGCGGAAAAATTACGGGACAAGTTGTACGTGTAACAGTGTAACTCGCTTACAAGTTACAGATGTGCGTACTAAACAATACCCCGGTTTTGCTACAATGGCCAGAAAAACAGACTGCGTAGTGCGTACAGTTATCAACAAACATAATTTAATATGGCGAATTGAGAGAGGCAGAAAGTGGTAATGTTTTCTCATGCTCCAAGAGGAAGGTTCGATCTTCTTCAAGTTTGCCTGTAAAACGTTGATAACGTTTCGTTTGATTTAACTGTGCTCCCGTAATAACCATATTGCCATTGTTCTCATGTGCATCTTCCACAGGAATACATCTTAATGGAGGCCCAAGACGCTATGAAGAAGCGCATTGGCGAAGGTTGGACGTTTTCTGGATGTAAGTGGATTCCGCCAAACGGCAAACATGATGCCGCACTCCTCCGCAGACGCCGATGCATCCAAGTGAAGTCTGTCTGTCAGCGTTGCCGGTGGAGATACTCGGCGAGGTCTGGCAGTTTTTGAACAGCGTTGACTTGGTGAAATGTCGTTGCGTATGCATGCTGTGGAATTCTATGCTCATTCAGGAGCAGTACTCCAAAGAAATCCGAGCGTCGTTTCTGTCAAACTCCACATCGTTGTTTAACAATCACACAGCGCGCGGGACGATCATGATAGCTAGAAGTTTGTGGAAATGCATCACCGCGACGACGGAGCGCGTTATTATAAGACAGGCTGTACAAAATGGCACCGCCACCGACATGACAGATTGCCTGCGCTTCATCCATGATACCAGGGAAGGACTGCGGCCGGCTCCGCGACGGAAGCTGCTGGTGATACTGGATTAATGTGTCTGGAGGATGAGCGATTTCTTCCACCTTGAAATCGATAGGATGGCTCTGGCTTGTGCCCATGCTGCGCCGACGGTTGCCGCGGTGCTTTGGAAGAACTGCATGGTTGATCCGGGTGCGCATCACTTGTGGGACCCATGGGGAGGTGCCCATGTCTGGGTTGCAGAATCTGAATTCATCCGATCTGCGCTCCAGTTTGTGTCGCATGCTGGAAGCAGCCTCGCCGACTTTGGACATCGATCCAACGGCCGTTGCTGCATGGATACGGGAAGCTGCAAAGCACAAGAACTCAGATGACTTCTACATTATTGAGCAGGTGCGTTGCAGTGCTTGCTCCCTTTCGGAGATGTTCTACAGTACTGCCACGTTTCCGCATTTCGGACATTTTCACAATATGGATTCGCGTACCGGACATCAGAGACACCGTATGCTCCTTGTTGTTCCACATGACATAGAATTTTCCAAAAATGATTGATTGATAATAACTGGTGCTATATACAAGCTCGTACACGATATTCATTCAAAATTACCGAATTTCCTAATGAGGAACAAGTAACTGTCTCCGCTGTTTGGTAAGTACATGGATGTGTATCGTGAAAATGTCCCGAATGCGAAAAACGCGAAGCATAAAGTTATATATGCGAGACTACAACGTAGATGCTTCGGTAGAACAGGCGTTGCACAGATTATTGAACCTCTTGCATGCTATTTTTGCGAATTGCATTTGGTACTGTTCCATACGATTTGTTGGTGTTATCAATGCTAATGCGACTTGGTAGTAATACGAGTAAAGAACTGTACATATACTTACACTGTAGCTTATTAGGCGATTAAGCTGCCTTAGTATAGCGATTCATATAACTTTGCGATTCAAATAGCTTTCTGACATTTGTGTGGCAGAATACCGTGGAATACTAAACTGTAGTATACCCATATGGTTTTATTACTTTATTGGTCAAATCAATGCCTCAATACACCAATTTGAAGAAAAGAAAACACGCTAAACTATAACAGAAAAATTTCGTTCAGCTTATCCAGTCCTTCCATCGTGCCCAGCACTGACGCCGCATTTCCCCGTTGAATTTCTATGGACAATCGCTGCCGCAGAAATTCGTGCGAGCGTGCTTCTCCGGTGTGCTGCTGCAGTCTTTTTCCCAGTTCTTTGATGATGGCGATCGCCGACGGTCCCCACGGGCCCAGTGTTTCGAAGGCGATCGGGACGAATAGGTAGCGGCCGACCAGATAGGAATATTGTCCTGATTTCCGTAACTCTGCTTGCATGGCGGCCGCTTCGGCTGTGGTGGAAGTGGCCTTGACATGTGAAAGCGCAACAGTGTCTACACAGGTCACGTCCCAAGCGAGGCATAATCCGCGTTTCCATGCAAAAGTCGTGCAGCCCATATTTAACCTGTTGGAACAGATATTGTGCGACTTCCAAAACGGTGATGGACGCGAAGGTATCCCCTACCGGCAATCTAGGTGGACCGCCGATGAACTGCGCTGTCTGGATGTGTCCAAGTTGACCAAACTGACGCTGGATGCGTTGCATCGCGCGATACCCACGGAGTATTTTGAAAAAGGTCAACAAGGCAGCTGTGATGTACGCATGGCAACCATGCCACGATCTTAATGACTGCTATGGTTTTGAGTTGGTTAATAATTCGCAATTAAAGAGCAGGATGCTCACATTGTAACAGCAGCCCTATACATGGTGAACGCTCTGTACTGGCAGACGGTTTTTAATTAAAACGGCGATGAAATTATAACGGTTAGTTATCGGTATTATGGGGGACTACTTTCAGAGTAGCGATTAGCGAAACCCAGTTGTGTAAATCAGCTGTTTTCCAGACTAAGTGTGTACTGCCCTACTCTAGTAATCCTCTATATGAAATAAGGCGTGACTATCGTCCTACAATCGGCAGTTCAGTTGAAAGTAAAGGATTTCATATAATTATCATACATATTATTAGTCCCCCAGACACTCCCTTAAGCGTTTTTAAGTTATGTGAGTGCATTGCCGCTTGGGAAAAACTTTGCTTGACTTGATATTTCCTTCGCCGCTAACGAAGCCGCTTACTGTGTTTTAAATGCTAGCGTTAATTTGTACAGATTTTACGGTTTTATTCGCCCAACTTCAACCTGGTTCATCTCGTCCATAATCAGACAGCGTCACAGCTCAACCTATCCATTAACCGAAAGCCTACAGCCTTTCCTGCTATACTGATGTCCAGCGTAAATTGAGTCTGAGCTGTG